GTAAAATTGAACGAAAATTGACAGTTAGTGCATTTGAATATAACCGTTAATTAGAAGATACTTTGAAATAAAAGGTGCCCTATTGAACGATTAAAAATTTTTATTAGAACATCGATTAAAAATATATTATAACAAATCTTGCATCTAGAGGTGCACTCGTGATCCAGACGAGATCCACATGTAGACTAAAATCCACATCTAGACGTGGTGTCCTGGTGGAAACGTGATTTCGACGTGGCAGTCAAAGGGTTAAACGCTTCCTGATATTCTCCGTTTTAATGTGAAGCTGGCCTTATCGTCCATAGTCAACCGATGACTCAGGAGTCAACCTTTGTCATCTCCTCGAAATTTTCCCTATTAAATCATATACAAATCCCAAACTTGGGACAAGTCATTCGGAACTAGACAAAGTCCATTGACAGCCAATCCTCTGTCAACCAATATATTCCCAAAACCCACCCTTTCTCTAACATACAATCCCACATATATATTCGCACCAGGGCACGAATGAAGAACATTCTGCACAGTACAACTCCACGGTGTTTTACCTTCACAAGACCTTCCTAACTATACGTAGTTAGTATACTATACCTAACTATAGCGTTAGTCTCTATTCGAGAGTTGGCCGAACATAGTTCTCCTTATATCACAGTAATTGTCCCGTGACATTGGATTCGTTTCGAATCGGGAGTATTTTTATTATTCGAAGCATGTAATGTCAAAATAATAACAAATTAGTGATATAAGACAACGTTCTTACCCAATGGAGCATTTATCTTATTGACAGTCATGAATGACCACTGTGGCGCCTCTGGTTACATTCAAAATACGCTAACTGTCAATTTTCATTTAATTTTTACAATTGTAAATAATTCAAACTCTAACTTACAATTGTAAGTTCAGAGGACCTAACCCGGAAGGAGGAGTCTCCTTCACCCCTGACCTTGGCATGGAGGGAGTTCCTCTTCTTTCGAGGTAGGCTTTAAAAAGGCTCGTTCTGGAAGATAGAGTCTGTTGTCAATTAGTTGACAGTCATGGAAATCTAAAATACAGTTTACACAGTTTACACAATTTACGTATAATTGTCAGATATGGTCGCAGAGCTGTCAATTAGAGTTCCATAGCTGTCAATGATCTAATCAAGAGTTACTTAGTCCACTTACAGTTATAGTCGCAGAATAAAGTCTTGACAGAGATTTGCTAGTAACGACATCGCTTCGAGTACTTCATAAAACCACCCTCTATCTTGATCCCTACACATATGACCAACGTGACAGTCAAAGTGATACCCACGAGCTTGGATCCTCTCGAGACCGCTGCTGAAACCGCGTTTAAACAGCGGCCCGATGATTTCCCGCGGATTTCCGGAAATCAGCGAGCTGAGAGGAGCAAACAAACGCGATAAACCGGCCTGGTTCGACGAACAACGGAACATCCACGCGTAATGAAACGTTTTCATTGACGGTTGTTAACCGACGCACCGTTGGGGTTGTTCTACCCCGGCAGATGGAAAAAGGAGAGACAATGGAGAGGGTTGGAAAGAGATAGCTGGAGTGTTGACGAATCAGGTGTACCAGGGTGAATCACGGTGGAAGAAGTTAATTTCGGCCGATTTGGGTTCAACCGGAAGCACGGGGTGGTAGATTTAGTTTTACGCTGGATGTGATAGGGCTGATCGGTAATTGATCGATTCGAATTTTCGATGGGAAGTTAATGGTTACGATGCTTTGATTATGAGCAATGTATATTATCGCGGTTGTTACATTTGCGATTAGTTCTATGGAGAATTGTTGGAAAGCCTCGTAAACTGTTAATATGGTTCATTGAGAGTCAAAGTGATAACCGAGTGTCAACATTCGTTTAATCCCTTTATCAAAAATCGCGTTTAAATTGCAATTATGCAAAGTGTGCCACGATCTACACATTGTTAGATAGCACTTGGACTATTTGTTTACAGAGTGCACCTAAATATAATATACTGTAATAAAAATTCTTAAAATTCTCGAAATTCCAAGGTAAAAGAATTCTGCTAGTTGATGCTTTCAAAAATTTTACATTAATACCAAGGAATTTTTGAATTGCTCCTCTAAAATGTTTTGGTACCTAATATAATATACTACAATATTATAAATGGCTATAAATAATTCTTTAATGGTATAATACTGTAAAAAATGCTAGAATAAAAATTCCCCAAATCCCAAGAATTCGAAATTAAAAGAATTCTGCTAGTCGATGCTTCCAAAAATATTACATTAGTACCAACCAGTTTTTGAATTGCTCCTCTAAAATGTTTTGGTACCTAATATAATATACTGCAATATTATAAATGGCTATAAATAATTCTTTAATGGTATAATACTGTAAAAAATGCTACAATAAAAATTCCCCAAATCCCAAGAATTCGAAATTAAAAGAATTCTGCTAGTCGATGCTTCCAAAGATATTACATTAGTACCAACCAATTTTTGAATTGCTCTCCTAAAATATTTTGGTACCCAATATAATATGCTAGAATGTTATAAATGGCTATAAATAATGCTTAAGTGCTATAATAGTATAGAAAATGCTATAATAAAAATGCACAAAATCCCAAGAATTCGAAATTAAAAGAATTCTGCCAGTCGATGCTTCCAAAAATTTTACATTAATACCAAAAAATTGCTGTCCTAAAATATTTTGGTACCCAAAATAATATACTATAATGTTATAAATAGCTATAAATAATGCTTAAGTGCTATAATACTATAGAAAATGCTATAATAAAGATTCCCAAAATTTCAAGAATTCGAAATTAAAAGAATTCTGTCAGTCGAGGCTTCCAAAAATTTTACATTAGTACCAACAAATTTTTCGATTACTCCCCTAAAATATTTTGGTACCTGGATCTGGAAATACTGTACACATAGGGTGTCTTATATACATATCGAATCGGGTACACATCATTTTCTGATCGTTCAAACTCGCATCGCAGCTCTGCTGCTAAATCGTTGTACTTTTCCGAGTTAATTAATGATCCTGCGGTAATTGATTATTCCACGGGGACGAGGCGCACCGCGACCATACATTGTCATTGAATTTATCGCGGTTATGAGGCTTTTTGCCGGCGTTTCCGGCCGATATTGCGGCCAGCCGCAGTGGCAAGGATCGTCATATTAATCGCGTGTTTCTCGTGAACCTAAGACATCGCTACCTCGCCGCGAATTATGATAAAATAATAATCCATCGAGAGGGAAAATTATCGGAAAATTATCCTCAATTACTAATTATTTTTAATTACGTCTAATTATTTTTACACCCCATTTGTACCCACCTATTCGACAGCTATTAATAGCACATTGCACTCGTATTTCAGTGCACAAATTTTTCCATATCAACAAATTCCGCTTTGACCCGTCTGCCAAAAACATTTCCCGTTCGGAGTGCAGCGCAACGAAAGGTATAAAAACGCGCGAACGACAAATAGAAAAAGCATTATAAATGACGTAAATTCACGTCACTAACTGCTAATGCATCAATCCCGTGCGAGCGAAATTTTTCGCATAAAAGTGCATCCGGAAGAGAAGTTTCAATGCACGGCTACCGAAGGAACAATATATTCCGAAAAATCCATAAACGCTATTTACACGAAGAATTAACGCGAACCAAAAATATCCAATTACCTCACGCACACACTAGCTAATTTACAACAACATCCATTCTTCCTCGCATGCAAAGCGACTATTTTCCAAAGCAATAAAAAAAACACCGTGAATGAGCAAAGAAAATTAACACAAAGTGCATCATGTCCCTGAAAAGAGGAGGACAAAATATCCAATTATTATCGCACGCGTACAATCCTTAATCCAATATCGAGAAAGAACAGCGAAATTCGAGGTACTACCCCGTATAAGCCGTCCGAAATTAATTAAAAATTCGTACCCGGCAACAAAGAAGGAATTAAAATGCCCGCAACGATTCACGAATTCCAGCGTGCAGCACTGCGCCGAGATTTTTATCGCGCAGCAGGGGGGCGAGGGGAGAGAATGGAATTAATATTCATTCGGGGACGGAATAGCGAAATTTCCGTGCGAAACGACTGTTTTGATAGGGACCGACAGGGGTTGAAGGGGTGGCCGGCGAGAGGCCATACACGTTTCGCAACTTCCAGCCTTGAGTATGCCGAATGCCTCCATACTCCCTCGTTCGCTTGTACCCGCTGTCTTGCCGCCGCTGGCGTATCGCGTTCGCACGTACCGGGTGACCCGGAAGTAATCCCCGGTAGCCAGCCACCGGCAGATTTTTCGTAGTTTCTGTTAATGAAAAACCCGGCTGCGCGATCCTCTCGCGGAATTAAAAAACTTTCGCCGTGCTTTAAACGATTTTCACCCCGACGGAAGTGGCGACGGAGGGGGTGGAGGTCGTTGTCCACGTTCCTTTCGATTCGTCGCTTTTACCGCGTGTCCCGCGAATTTCCATCGTCCGCGATGGAACTTGGCGTCGGGACTTTTAAGGGCCACTGGGAATTTCGCGTCCCCGCGAGTGCCAGTTTCACCGGCTAATGGCGGGGAAAGAGGGGGTTGAAAATTTCTTGGAAATTCCCTCGTCTCGCCTACGAGAACGCCCTCGTTGATTCTTTACGTCGCTCGTTGCTTAATGCACCGTCATCGCGCGACTCGCGTCGGATAATTCGCGCCCCAGATGCAGGCGGAGCGAAGAGGGTGCACCGCGGGGGTGCACGAGGACGCGGAGGGCAGCTCGGAGCTGGATTTTCGCGACGCTCGCGTTCCACCCTGTACACCGTGGGCCGCGATACACCCAAGGCTCTCTGGATACCATAGAAATACCACGGCGGGTACAGTTTCCGTCGCGGGAATGAAGGAAATTCCGGATCTTTAGCAGCGAGGGAACCAGGCCGACGCGAAATCCCAAACGAATTACGCGAGTAATAATCGGCGATGTTCACGCGAAGTCGTTCGATTTGCTCGAGTCAATGCGATCGAACGAGAAATGGAGGGTGCAAGATGGCGGTGCTAGATGTCAAATTCACGAAGGAACAGAGGAAACGTCTTCATCGTTACGTGGTGCTCGCGGTCTCCACTAGCCTTGTTATCGGGCTCGTCCTCTTCGTCCTGGCACTGTTCGTTTTGTTCGTGATCACGACCAAATTGCGATTCGACGAGTGGAGGTTGTTCCAGCTGGTTTTCAAGACCCTCGCGTTGTACGGCTTTTACGTGTTCCTTCACAATCTGCTCGGCGTGAGGCTGTGTTATAATTACTTCCACTATGCCGAAGGGTAATTTTAGTGCAATTTATCGGATTTCCGTATTTCCTCGATTTTTCCCTGAATATATCTTTTACCTATCGGAATTGGAAGAATGTTTTAATCCTACTGCAATATTAATCGATTCATTTATAGTATCTTAATAAAACTGAAAGCCTACTCAACGTACCCCTCTTTAAATATTTTTATTAAATATAAATATCGAATATTTTGGTCAAATATGTCATTTAAATTATCGACGCCTGTTCCGATAATGAATTTCTCGGTTAATTAATTTATAATTTGTACATTTCATTGACAATATTCATTTCATTCCTTTTGCCTTGGGTAATTTTATTGTTTGCTAATTTTCTTAGCAATTTTCGTTGTGCGTTCGGTCTAGCTACGACTCGTGGTAAATACGTGAATATTCCTAGTATATACGAGATACATAAGCAACCGTGATACCAATCAACCCCTGTCGCACGAACATACCCCCGAGAGGGATTTTTAACGCGAAATCACGAGGTTCACGGGAACAAGAATGCGAAATTGCGAGTTAATTAACGGTTCCGGAAGATCCGCGCGATCAAAGGTACCGCGAGCGAAATTCCTCCTTTAATTCCTTCGGTTTTTGCGACAGCCGTCGTGGAACACCATAAGAAAGGTAACTTCATTTTTGTGCAGATTGCAATCTCGCTTGTGTGCCCGGTAACTTGGAGAAATAAGCTGTCACGACGGAACCAGACTCACCCCCGTTCCTTAATTTCATGATAAAATATTCCAAATCTTGCTGGAATATAATCCGAGACCACTTGCATTTCTCGCTTACATATATATATCCACTAATAATTACGAAAGTGGTTCACGTCAAAAACGTAAAACAAACGAATTTTCCGCTCGTTTTACGTTACACCTATTATTTACCTTGGAATATAATTTAACGAAACTGCTTTCGCAAAATAATTTCACTGAAAACTAAAATTCTCCAACTTTTCCATTTTTCCCGACACGAACGAGATGTGAAATACACATATGTGTAGATTAAAATCGAATTTACGCAGGACATTGGAAGAAACCCTTATCGTTAAATTTTAGTGGTACGATCGGGGATCAGGTCGGTGCCATAATTATCAGCGGGCGTTACACATAAAATTTCGAATTAATTCACGACGTTATCAACCCCCGTTCGCTGGGGCGGGTCTAATTTCCGAGATAGCCGAATGATCGCAATTAAAAAGAGGCGGGAGAACGCGTCTGAAACGAAAGAGGGTGCGAATTGGCCGGCGCGGGGTAAATTCGGTCGTACAATACAGGGCAAATTGCGAATCAGCCTGGATCGGGCCCGTGATTTCGCGTAAATTAGTTAACGATAGCAACGACAGGATATTCTTGATATTTTCCGGCGGAAACCGCCGCGCGTACGGAGCACCCCCGGCCTGAAGCATTCATTAGAGGCGTCGCGTCGGGGGTGCGTGAATACGATCAATTGGCCCTTGTAATCCGATCTAGCCGAGCACAATGCGTGCCTCGGTCAGTATTATATTAAATCCGCGAGGGACAGGGCGAGATACCGGATCCGGGAAATCGGCATGTGGGATTTTCCCGCGAGAAATTTTGAATGAGACAAGAATACAACGTACAATAAGAAAGAGAAAGAAAAACGGAATTAAAAAAAGAATGGAAAAATCTAAAGAAATAGCGATGGTCTCTGGGAAGTGTCAAAGGAGAGAAAAACCGTCGGAAAAACCGGACGAAGACAGCAACCAATGAAAACCAAAAAATTGGCAGAGTAGGCAAGAGGGGGTAACTTGGAAACGGAAGCTATAGAACTGAATTTACGATGAATAAAATTGGAGCTACCCTGGAAATTTCGCCGAGGAATCGGAGTAAGTAAATTTCACGGCGATTCGGACGGAAAGATAGGCTCGGCAAGGACGATCGAGGAACACTGTTTGAATCCTTGATGAAGAGAAACGAGGGTGGGAGAACGAAAAGGGGCGAAAGGGTGGCGAAAAGTGGATTCGAGGGAAACCTCGTTGGAGTGCGGCCGGAGAATTAACCCCTGGCGTGTTTTTCTTAATTTTCTCTCCTCTCTGTCTTCCTCTATCCCTCTCTGCCGCTCTCACCCCCTCGGCCTGCGAGCAACCACCGGCCTGGCGCGAATTGGGAAACGGCCGCTTGCCGAAGGCCAATCGATTTGTCAGAATTTTCCAGTAATTCCGCCGATACTCCACCGGGCTACTGGTTCATTTGTTTTAATTACCCCTTCGCTCGTTAACGTATCTTCGCGGTTTAGTCGGCGGCTGGAGATTTTCGCGCTCCGCCTTCGTCTCGCACACGTGTGCGCGGGGGTACACGAGGGTGTGCTCGTGGCAGGGCGTAGAAATTGGAAGGCCGGGGAAATTAGTCCCGACGGGTTCCCCGTTGGGTTAAAAATGGATCCGTGGAATCGATAGACCGCGTTCTGCACTGTCTTAGATAAAGATTATGGTTCGAGCGACCCAGTTGCCGCTGCTAATGGACGATTCGTTCGTTTTCAGACCGTGGATGAACCTGAGGCTCTTCGTGTGGACTCTGGTAGGCTTGCTCGTGGTTCTCGCGGGCTGCTTCGTGGCCAGCAGCTGCTTCTCCACTGCGGATCTCCTCACGCTTCAGATTCGCCAGATTCTTCTCGAAGGTTAGTGTGACTTTGAAATATAATCTCAGCGTAGAATGGGTGGAAGGAAGATCGATTATGATCATCTGTTTCGAGTGGATAAATCTGACTCTCGATATTCTCGATTCTCTTTTTACGTTCTTTGTATTTATCATTTTTTGACAGCGTCTTGGTTTTCATTTTATGCAGAGTGAAGATGGGACACGTTATTTATACCTTACTTCTTCGATTATGTTTCTGTGTCATACAGGTTACTTAAAATAAAAGAAACAATATAAAAAGTAAAAAGTAACCTTAACAAAAATTCGAGACACTTTTTCCAACCTTTTCACTCGTGACGTATGAAAAGAGTGGCAAACGTCCTGTCCTGAATTAATTTAACGAATTTTATTTTCGTTTAAATCTAATGAAAACTTAATCAAAATATAATATCTTGCATTATAAGCTTACCCGAGGTGATGAAGATGAACACAGGAGTTCAGAAGTCGCTAAATATTTTATTTGCAAACCCTGGCAGCAGACGAAAAATCTCGGGACAGACGTGAAATACAGAGTGTCAGAATTTTCTTGACAGAGGGCAAAATAATGCAGGGATTTTATTTAAAAAATTTTCTCTCTTATCCTAAGAGATGGCAGGACATGTCAGTATAGTTGGATTGCGTTCGGAAACAGTTTTCTAAGCTCTAACAGCTTTGAAATCCATAGACGTTGTGTCACATTCGCAGTCCGGCTGAAAGGGTTAAAATACGACTGAAAAATGATAAGCAACCTGACCTCATCAAAATTTTTGTCAAATTCTAAGAAGCTGGGTGAAAATTAAAACGCGAGCAAAATAAAATTCGCCGTATTGCAACAGAGGTTAAAAAATTTATTTTAGAAATACTCGAGAGGCACGTCTGACAGGGTACGTCTCTTCTCCAATTTTTTGGGTTTTCTTTCACAGGGGGAAAAATTCTCTGGCTACATCTAGAATCCACAATTGATATGAGATAACTACGCAGTAATTTTATATGATTTTTAGTCCTGCCACTTTATTTCGCACAGGGTAAGTCAAAATCGAAGAAGAATTTGAAGAACTATTAGAAAATTGCTGTGTTAATGCTACGTCAACTAAATATAGTAATTGACAGTCGAAATCTAGAATTTACATTCCATATTATGAAATTACGCAGTATTTTTATATAAGTTTCACTCTCGTCACTTTATTTCGCTCTAGCGTGTCAAAATCAAAGAAAAATTTGGGGAATTATTAAAAAATTGCTGTTTCAATGCTATGTCAACTAAATCAAGTTTCTCATCTGTATAATTCATTATTTATTAATAATTAGTTACTATTTATTCTTTATTAATCTAAAATTAAATAAATTAGTAGGGTTTGAAACATGATTTGGAAAATTTCACATTTTCAATTTAAAAACCGATTTATTAATAAAATTGACAAGGAGATACTCAGAAACCACTTCAATACATATTTGAAATTTATAAAATACAAAAATTATACGCGATATCAGCTGAAAAATGTTTTTTGCCGTATTTGGGTGCATCGACCCCATTGTGCGGCGTACTAATTAAAATCCCGCGGTCGAAATGATTAAACGTCGATTACGATGAAGCATCCGCGATTAAACTTACTCTTTGTGGGTCAACGAGGGATTACGAGTAGAATATTTGAAGAAGAAACTGGGACAGCTGAGAGATTAGTCTTGACTCTACTCTCGCAACTTTATCTTTTTTAATCCTAAATTCTAATTAGAAACTACAGTCGAGACATATTCGATCTTTAAGACAAGATTAACGACAGTCAGTATCAATTCTCTGCAGTTTTAAATTCACCGTAATTGCATAAAAATTTCGTTATCGAGCAGATTCGATGCTTACAATTAGTCTACTTGCATATCGATTTTACTCAAGCATGTTTCATTTCAAACCTACCGTACTATAACAAATTCCAAACTGCGAGGAAATAATAAAACTTTACTTGGAGTAAAACAAAAATAAATAAAAATATTACCAAGAGTATTAAAAAAATAAATAAATAGAAATTAATAAAAATTTGACTTCAGTGTTTCGAAGCAACGTGTCATTTCCAGATAATTCAAAGTGAATTAAAATAGACACCAATAAAAATTCCATCAGGAGTATTGAAGAAAATAATTAAAAGTTAATAAAAATATAATTTCAGTGCTCTGAAGCAACGTGTAATTTTTAAATAATTCAAAATAATGAATTAAAATAGACACCATTAAAAATACTATCAAGAGTATTAAATAAAATAAATAGAAATTAATACAGATATAATTTCAATGTTTGTAAACATCGGGTCACTTCTAAATAATTCAAAGTGAATTAAAATAGACACCAATAAAAATTCTATCAAGATTATTAAAGAAAATAAATAAAATAGAAATTAATATTTAATATTAATATAAACTATTAATATAAAAATATAATTTCAGTGTTCCAAAGCACCGTGTCATTTTTGAATAATTCCCAGAGGATAGGTATAGTTTCTCGTCTGATTATCGCATAACAAGTGTACGAATGTTCCTCCGTAGAGTGCACGTAGCGTTTCAAAGTAAACCAGGCAAGGGAGCGTGTTCTGCAATTGCACCCCTCGGTTCCTTGTCCGTGACACCTTCCAGCACTTACAATTCCGACAACTTCGAGACTTCAACCCCCACCTCACCCCAGAACAGCCGATGCACACGCGCGACCGTTTTCCTTCGACGCGTAATTAGCCCCGGATTACATCGAAAACTGAAACTTGTTTACTCCGGGACACTTGTCGAAGTTCGTAGGAATAGTCGTTCGAAAGGAAACATCGTTCGGACTTTGAACACTCGACACCGAGGATCCTCCCATTCGAATACTTCCGGCAGAAATATTTTGAAACACGACCATCACGCGCGACCGGGTTTCACTTCTATTCCGAATCAATTTACGATACAACGGATAATAAATGATCCACGGTAATTCCGTTTAATTCCGGTGTTAAATGAACAGTGACATCGTAGCGCATAATTGATTAGAATAAGCTGCGTGGAACAGAGAAATCATTTTTATTATTCCACGTAAATCCTGCATACTCCATAAAACCATCAGGATTTACGACACTGCCGGAAATATTAATAAATATTTCCCTATAAATAAATTCGACGCTTGAAATGCAATCTCGTTTACAGGCATTAAGGAAACGATTGATCGGTTATAGTTTTACGTATCTGCTGCATAAATCGAGCATTTATTCATTAGGTTCGTGACCATTATTTTTTGGGTCTAGGAAAAAATAACACTGTCCAACAAATTTTAACTTCTTCCCTAATACCTGTAACATTTATTAGCTGAATTTTATAGAGTTTACTTCCCTGAACACGAATTTGTAATCGAAATTGCTCTACGACCCTTAAAAATAGCTGAAAGTTTACGATGAATGTAAATTTTTCTAAAAACGCACGATTTTTGGCTAAAATAAAGTATTACATAATAAACAAGAACATCAGGGGTTCATCGCTGTCTCATAAATTAAATAACAACAAACTCATTGCGAAAAATTGCCAAAAATCGTGATTCCATTAAAAGGGATAAAAACGAAAAGGAAAATTTAATTTCATCGCACAGCATGGGAGAAAAAATATAAAATTTTCCTATTAAAACATCAATTTCGTGGTGCTAAATTTGCAGAATGAAACTAAAAATTTCCAGCCGGAAATTAAAAAATCGCCGATAAAAAATTTTCCGATAATTGCTCAAGTTGACCAATATTGACGCTAAAAATCTAAAATCACCGATCGAAATTTCGGCACGGAGCTCGATCCACGAATAATCCTTGTCCGATTCTCATTCATACCCAGCAAGTCGATGGAGATCTCCATACGGTATGCGACTCGCAGATAATCAAGGGACATTTGCGTAGACTAGGCAGCGGAACAGGCCGCGTCAGGCAGGAAGTTTATCGCGGGCAAACGCTTCGAATTTCGGGCATGAAGGAGGAGGATCCAGAGTCGCGTATCTATTCATTAAGTAGCTAGACGCCAAACGAGATTTCCATCGGTAATTTCGAAACGGGACAGCCGGCGTGCGTCGCGTTCGGCCGTCGATTTGCATATTACCCCGGCAGATACCGTTTCGCGAGCGCGCCATTTTCGCCATCTGTCCGCCATATCGGCGCGACGCCTCGTGGATCCAGGACACCCGGCCTGGCCCCGTGTATCTCTCGCGCCATCCACCCCCGTCCACCCTTTCCCTTTTTATCGTTCGCTTTGTTAAATATTCAAATTCCAGGAACGACGGCTGCGAAAACGACGGCCACGAGAACGGGGTTGGCACGGGGGTGGTGGTAAAAAATAAAGGGACAACGGATAGGCGTTCACGAGGCGATCGCGCGGAGAAAATGAATTCGCTGCCACCTGCCGATCCGCCAACACCGCTCGCATACATCGCTCGTCGATGAATATTTCACGATCCCTGCTCGCCTAGCCGCTCTCTGTTTTCGGGAAATGGGTTACCCGGCTCTGCCACCCGCGGATACCGTTTGTCTTGCTTTCGTTTTCGCTAATGGAGTTATCCTTGCCTTCATGCAACGATGCCTTTTGGGTTTATCGGGCGGGCCGAGCGGAAGGTTGAAGAAGATACGTTCAGGGGGGTGTGTTTCGAGGTGGACCAAGCATCGGGGGTTGGAGAAAGGTGGGAAGATCGGAGATCGAAGGATTTGTATGAAAATTATTGAAATGGACGTAGGAAATTTATGATGATTGAGTATTGAAACAGCAGTTTTTTAATAATTCTCCAAATTTTTCTTTGATTTTGACTTGCCATATGCGAAATAAAGTGACAGAACTGAAAATGATATAAAGTTACTGCGTAGTTATCTCATATCGATTGTAGATTCCAGATTTCCATTGTCAATCATGATATTTAGTTTGCATAGTATTGAAACAATAATTTTTTAATAATTCTCCAAATTTTTCTCTGATTTTGACATGCTATGGCGAAATAAAGTAATTCGAGTGCAGATCCTATAAAGATATTATACTGCACTTTCTCAACGTCGCGTAGTGACGTTAAAAATGGACAAATATTTCAAAAAATAATATTATATCATGCTCCATAATCCTGATTGACTATTGGAAGAAAAATTTTTTTAAATCCAAACTTTTCTGTAATGACTTTTTTCCACTTTTTGATGCATCGGCTACACGGTGCGCTGCACCGAAGGTCTCGACCGCCAAACGAAAATTTCAATTTTCCTCCAACTTCCGCCACCTCCGTGTCAACGAATTCCGCTGATAGGATATAAAATATCGGAGAGTCTAACGCAAAATATTCCGCACAGAATGGACCTCCTCGTGGAATTTGACGCCGTAACGGGGATAGCACCCCGCGCGAGAATAATTGAGATTCATGTACGTCCGTCGATTCTTCTCTTCTTTTTCATACTCCTAATTTCCAGAGGACAGCTACATCGACTGCTAGAGGAAATTGAATCGTCTCGTACACCCCTGTGAAACTTTTACACGCCCGTTTTTCGAAGAGGAAACAAACTGATCGAGGCTTGACTGATATCGAAATAGAATTAAATATAATCTCGAACCCTGGAATTTTTCTTTACCACACTCGTCAATTTTTCGATTAATATTCCTGTCAACTATGTTATTTTAAAATGGAATATAAAATATCGAGAAGAATTGTACTGATCGATCAGATATATCACTATTCGATCATCGTCCGCTGTTGACCTATGGAATATTAGTGACAATTTATTAGATTTAAACAAAAATAAAATTTGTTAAATTAATTGAAAACAAGGCGTTTGCTACTCTCTTCGTAACTCAGGAGTGAGAAGGTTAATTAAGAATAGAAAATAAGAAATATAATATAATTATAGAGCGAATGCTTTAACCCTTTGCACTCGACAGATTTCAGCAGAGCAAATTTAGCATTTCGCAGTTATTTTTCTGTACAGGATTTAAAGTCAATATATGGATTTCAAAACGCACAGAATTTGTTGAAACTGATTTCTGTTTAATACTACTTATAATACGTAAAAATACAAAATTTTAAATCCTTTGCCCTCGACGACTTTTTCGTTACAGAAAAATAGTAATTCGAAGACTTTCTGTCATAGAGTCGTCTAAATTTTAAAAATGGTAAATGAGAAATCATGCAAATTAAGACGTAGAATTATTTTTCATCGACATTCCACACATTGTTAAGTAATTTTATATTTGATATATTAATTAACGTCAATCTTTAGAATTTGATTAAATGGTTACTGAGAGACCCCTCTCGAGTGCAGAGAGTTAATTTCCCTAATGTTCTGTATTTTTCGACTTGCAAGTGTCCTCGCTGCGGAGACATCGACCGCAAAGGGTTGAACCTAAAGATTAATAATAGTCACCTATAATCATTCTAACTAAGAATTTCAGTAAATTAATTCGGAAATAATAATCCATGAAAATCTAAATCTTCCTCGGAACAACTTAAATAATTTTTAATCCCTATCCTTCTGAAGGATCTTTATTTATAAAATTTTTTGACAGGAATATTGACACGAATTGTTTCACAGGTATGAAGAAGTACTTCACGGACATGTCATGGAAGCGTCGGATAGACAACCTGCAGATGGGGCTGCAGTGCTGCGGTATAGACTCCTCCGAAGATTGGCACAAGACGTATTGGGTGCAACGGGAGTTTCTTGTGCTCGACTCGCCGGATATCTTGAGGTAATTATCAGTTAATTATGCCGGGACAATCAGGGCCGATATCGCAGGGAGTATTGACCGGCGACGCCATAAAATCTATACCCCATCCGCGTTTATCGGCCATTATCTTCCTACCTGTACTCCGTCACGGGGCACGTACAATGCCGGCTTTATCGCCCAACGATCCTCCTGTTCCTCCCCAAGATGTCATTGTGCTTAACCCAAGTGGAACATCCCTGGGAAAAGCTGTATTAAAATTTCGTCCACCATGTCGAGCGTCTATCAAACCATCACCGTAACAATTAATGTACGATACGACACCTATGCTCGCCATTATCGTCTTCGATATACGTTGCAAAATACCGGAATAATCTCTCAGAATATCTATACGTGCTTTCTTTACGGCTGCTTAGAGGCAAGTGATTTCCATCGTTACGTTTCATTAAAATTACCAAAAATTACCGAAAATACCAGATGTTACTAGAAGCATCTAGCAACATGGAGAGGGAGATTAGAACTCTCCAACAATGTAATTTATACTTTATTCGTCATTGATGTTAGTTAAAGCAAGTGTTAACGTGGTTATAACGCAAAAGAATAGTAGTCAGTGGAAACTGAGGAAAAATTGTATAGATCTTTATTGGACGGTTAGAACTGGCCTGTTTAGGGCCACGCAGGTCACAAATCGCCTTTAGAAAATTGGGGACAAGAGACAAAACGCAGGGGAAGGGATCGGCCCCACATTGCTAGGATATAGAGTTTACTTTACCATTTAATTTTACTACAATTTTGAAAAATGTTAATTTTCCAATCAGCGGCATCCTAAGTGTTGTGACCACACTTTCATGCGCCCTTGGCATGCCTTCTTTTGGTAAGGGTGGGACGATACCTGTGCAGCCGTGAGGTCACGAATTTTGTCCAAAGGTTACGGTCTTCCTCCAGAAAGAAAAAGAAAATTCCTAAATTCCTAGGTATCAGAGGTTCATGGAGTTTAAGCCTGTATTACACCCAATTTCATTTTAACAATTGATATATTTTTAATTGACACGAATCTAGGGACCATTCACTTCTTCATCCCTTTTAATTCACCCTCCTTATCATTTAGAATGTAACACACGGAATTAAAATAGATTATCGCGATTCTTTGAAACCTAACATCTGTAGCGGCATCATTCTCACCCTCGCGAATAGATGGATTCATAGTTGAAGAAGGTTCGAGGACTTTTTCGCAAAGCATCGGTAAAAACCCTTCGTTTCCTATATATATGAAGGGATTATCGTAGGGGGATTAAATAACGGAAGCACTGTATCCGATGTTACTAGAATTTATTTTATCGCCATTAAAAATGCTTTACTCCGCACTCTCGTTGTCAACCAACTGACAACCCTTTCTCAGTCCTGGCCCAACGCATCGTGGTCCGCGAGTCATCATAGGTGGTCATAAAGACCATGAACCAGACCCCCATTTATTCGGGACCTTTGACATCGCTGCGTGTGGAAAAATGTCTTTTTCCGTCAGTGGAGATGCGTTCCTATATATTTAAATTTCCAAGCTTTCCAATTGTATCCCCGTCTAAGACAGGTCCTGCTAGGTAGCCCTACTGATGACTATCCACTAGCAGGCCCAAGACGAAACGCATCCCTTTCTTTTCCTTTCGACCCTTCTAGCTCCACCGCCACATCGAATATACCTGTGACAAAACTAGACTTCAACAACCGTGGGAGAGGACCCCCCACACAGCAATTTTAATCAAATGTACAGAGAGGATGTACAAACTACCCTAACTGATGCAGTTAATTTAACAAAAATCATGTATCGTTTGTTATGAAATAATTAAACGTACTCTAAATATAGGAGAATATTACCGTTGCCAGGGTACAGAATAATAAGTCAGGTGTAACGATTAAACGCGTTGAAATTCGACAAATCACGGCGCTCAGCTCCGCCATGTTAACATTTTTCGCGCCACGTCCGTAATACCTAGCAGCCCTGTCCACGGACCGTCGGGGAACAAATTTTCCAGGAACTTTAATGGAAACGCAGAAAGTATGCCAGGATTTTAATTACGACTACACGCGTTGCCGCGGCGTACAGAGGAAATTTTAACGCGCTCGAGAGGGCTTGGCCACGGGGGTGGTTCCATCGTACGGTTTTAAAACGGCCGTCGCTATCGTCTAAAGCGGTTCGTACGCTTCGCGACGACGTCGTTGATTCCTCGAGACCTGAGCTCCTTCGTGCAAACCGGAAGAGGGCGAGGGTGAGAAAGAGACGCGCGGGGGATGAAACGGTGGAGTCCTCGGAAGTTGCAGGCCCGACATTCCACGCCCTGCTCGAGATGCTACCAGGAAGGATTTAAAACACCGCTGGCTGACGGCAAAGTGCCCTTCCACGGCCAGATTATTTCCACGCCGGGCTGGGGCCCTTCGCTTCCGGTCTGGCCCGTCTAACGCGTGCTTTTACCGGCCACGCGTTACGCCCACGCGAAAGAGTTCTCCATTTGGATTTGGAAATGGATTCAAACTCGCTGAAATGTTGCTGTTGCCCAGCTAATGCTCCTCGATCGCTTCGACGCGTTGGAAAAGATGCCGGGATCGGTTCGATGGCGCTGTGTGTCCGTGGATAGGGTTACGGGGTTGCGAATTATGGTGGAAGTATGTTGTATCATCTATTATTCTTTTGTCTCGTTTTCATTTAATTGTAAAACCGGGTCTATTGTCTTTGAGTATATATACCTGATATTTTAAGAAAATTTAATTGACACAAGAATAGGAATTATTTATATAGCATTCAATCTTGGATGAGTTTCCAAAAATATGTAGGATCCGAATATATACAAAAATTTAAATATTTAAAAACAATGGTTAAAATAAAACAAATATAAATTTAAAAAATTAGTATCGCCGAACATTCGTGACCATCGTGGCAGTCAACGTGTTAAACTATGTATATATATTACATAAGAATAGGAGTTATTTATGTAGAATTCAATCTTGGACGAGTTTCCAAAAATATGTAAGATCCGAATATATACAAAAATTTAAATATTTAAAAATAATGGTTCAAATAAAACAAATATAAATTTAAAAAATTAGTATCGCCGAATATTGGTGACCATCATGGCAGTCAACGTGTTAAACTATGTATATATATTAGGTGTAGTAAAAAGAAATGTATTATTTTTGCATGAAATTGAATGTACATAGTTGAACACGTTAACTGCCATGATGGTCACCAATGTTCAGCGATACTAATTTTTAAAACTTTTATTTGTTTTATTTTAACCATTTTTTAAAATTTAAACAATTTAAATAAATAGAGAATTTTTAATAGAAAACATTAATAATTTGCACCATTTTTTTACCATATTGTTTATAATTCATTATATTCTAAGAATAATGGAAATTTCATCATGGCTCCCTGAGTGTACTATATAAAATATATGTGGTAGTCAAAGTGTTAAATGAAGTTGAACAAAGAAAGTTGGTTAAATAGTGATATATATAAAAGTAAAAGACAATACAGAACAACTCTATACGACTCTCTTCACGATTTCTTTCTCGTTATCAGCGTTCACACAACACTCCTCGAAAAGGGGTCGTTCCTCGCTTCCCTAATTGTCCTCAAAAACTACCCCCTGTCCTTCAATCGTCGAAAATATTGCAGACCCATCGTTGAACTATTCCTCGGCGAAATATTTCCTCAGTGGGTTTAATTTTCCTCCTGTTCACTCATTTTCTCTCTCTTTTCCAAGTAATTCAACATTACCCACACATTTTTTAATTTTTCTTCGAATTTTAATAAGAATTTCTGTTCTTCCTCGAAGTTTCTTTATATAATTCTTGAAAGTTAACTGCCCAGTAAAAATCTCCGCTACTTATTTTTAATTCTGGCAGAAGTTTAAATCTCCGGGGAAGAAAGACGTTTTGCCGGAAAAATTTCGGATTTCAGGTTCTCCTTTGGGATTCCGCGTTTATGATAATTATGTTGACTATTTCGCCAACTATCTTGAGGATTGCTGGTAGAAGTGGCGTGGCTTGGTACCTCGAATCGTTGAGGTTTGCGAGTTTTCTGGACACGTGGAGGAGCGGAAGTAGCGGATGGGAAACATCGAGCGAAACAATTCGTCCCGTCCTGGCGAATTCGCATTGCTTAGAGTAGTTTCGCGGTAATTGCCTAATAGTTAGGTTTCTGTAGGCTGACGTATGTGTGCATTATGTGGTAGCGGTAATACGTTCGATAATAAAGGGTTAATAGCGCGTTCCGAACAGAAGCCTTTGTGTCGCGGCTGGTAATCGCAGATAGAACAGTGGATTATCGATTTCTCGTTATGTTAATTGCAGAATTATACCTTCCACTGGATCGATCCCGGTCTTCCTCGCCGCAACTATTCCCGAATGTCAACCAACCACCCCCTTCGTCTCGTAAAATCCATCAAGATTATACGCGCTGGTGACAAAATGGCCAATGAGGCATTTTCGATAAGAAATTGCATCGTATAACCTGGTTTTAATTATGCGAAAAATTTGTCCATCTTCCACTCTTTAATTTGGTTTCCTTAAAATTCCATAAATTCAAAAACGAAGCTTTCCTAATTATATTTTTCTCTATCCACTGTCAATCATAATTCGACTATTATAGAAGTAGAATTCCATACGTTGCCAGAAAGTTTTCATCCAATTTCTTCGTTAAAAATCTATTCTTACCCTCGAATATTCCTCTCATTACAAAAGTAGAATTCTATACGTTGCCAAAAAATCTTCAGTTATCAAACATCCGATTTTCATCCGATTTCTATGTCAAAAATTTAATCTTACTCTCCAATATTCCGAGTAAATAGACTGTTATAAATTCTCCCAAATTATACCTATGCATTTCTTTAAAAATTACAATTTCAGCGGTAAGTTCATCAGCCACATTTTTAGATCCATTAAATTCAATCCATTTATATCATTTTTACCAGCGAGTGGCATGCAAATTAGAAGCTCATCGAAAATAGACGTTCCTCGTGGAACGAAGTAATTCAACGACCTCGAGGGAACTGTTTGAGGTTAGGTTTCTAATGCAAAACCATTTATTAAAAAAAGGAAAAAGAACGAGAATAACTTAAACAAAATAAAAATAAAGGAAATAGTAATCTTTGGTCTTCTATAATGCACTTCTTCCACTAGGGGTGCACGATTACGTGGCTACCCAAATCCACACTGCCCACTTACACACTGCGTGCACTAGCACACCCAACCAATGGCACTAGGCACTAGGTACCGAAGGACAATTACCACTCCAACAGAAACAAGCGAAAAATTTATCCATCTTCCATTTGGTCTCCTTCAAATTTTCCAAATTGACAGTATGCTGTCCAGTGACACCACGTTGGTGCCATGCGAGAACTATCAGGCAAATACCAGTGGCACCACGTTGGCACCATGCTCCAATGATGAGTCAGTCTTATTATCAGCGCCAAACGAAGGAATTCCCATTAGACGGCATAGTGTTAAAAGACGGAGGCTTCCTAATTATATTTATCTCGATCTCCATGTGCACGATGTTCGACGAAATATTCGACGCGATCGCTGATCGAAGGGGGCAACTTTATCTTTCCCCGATTTCGCACCGCGAAATGCAAACACTCGGCTGGATGGCCGATTCAACCCGCAGATCGATGCCACCGCGTTTAATTACCAGAGCGTAGCCACGGTATCGGACACGCGAAAGTCCTGCGGCCGATGGCCGCTTTTCGCTCGGGAACTTGCCCCAAAAGCCACGGTGGAGACTGCGTCGGGCCGCTCCGGAGGACACGCGACACGGCTTCGACAACTTGCGGAAAGCCGAACGCCACGTTTAACGTCGGCTATCGGCCCGAGAGGGAACTTCCTACCCCGAGCGAGCAACTAATCTTGCCTTTTTGCGTCACGGTGCAAGCAGCCATTGGAAAAATCGGGGACACTATATGTGAGACTAAGGAGGATTGTATTGTGATTGGTCTTCTTGTATTTTTAACACGTTCACTGCCACGCAACATTTCACGATTCCGGTCTAAGAAGCCAATTTACTTTATTTATAGTACATAGTAATAATCAGAAACCTTAAAAATGTTTTTTTTTTTTAAACATGTTATGAATTATCTCGTAGTTGGCTTGCAAGATTGTTTTAAAAATTATCACAAACCATAAAAATGTTATTTTCATTGATAAATTTGTATAAACTTTTTCTTTTTGAATTATGCTACAGTTATACTACGGATTTCCTCGTAGCTGTACAAATATGGCAAATAATGAAGGGACGGGATAACTCGTAGTAGGCGTCCTAGGCAAGGAAACTACCTACGAGATTCTCGTAGTTGACAGTCAACGTGTTAACACGTAAATTAATCAAGTTTGACTTGGGACTTGGATCATTCTTGTTGAAAAATTTCAATGCAAAGTTGGAATTATTAATATTGGGGGCTACTGACAGCGAACAATGACTAGGTGTTTCTGGAGTCATAGTGAGTGACAGAAGGAAAAGACTGTCACGTTGCGTTACAGGATACAGCTATTTGGACCCTTTCCCTCTTCATTTTTCAAATCTATTCAGGTAACAGAAGGGTTAGACTCTTGGTTGTTTAATATGATTTTTCACTATGCGAGGATATGCGAGTATCCACTGTACTGATCCTATTATTAATAAATATATTTTTGTCATAAAGAAATCTCAACAGATATTAACGCTGAATCTACCATGATTGGTCAAAATGACCGATGGATGAGAAAAGGGATGAAGAGGGATATTAAAAAAAAAAAATATGGAGAATTTGAGTATATTTATACTGAAAGACAAATTACGTAGGCAAGTTGTCAAACATTGAATATGGAATTTTATTTAAACCGTGGTTTAAGCAGGATTTAGTATCAATCTAATCTGGGTGATCATAATTATATTTCACAAGTTTTAACAGACACAAGATTCAAAGAATTGTTCAAATTTTTATCTACTTTTATCATTAATTTTTATAATTAAATATTGCCAAAGGTTACCAGATTGCCTGTGATTCGTGTCATACTCTATTCTGATTGATTCTAGAGCTTTCAAATTCAATTTCTGCCGATATATTCTCGAAGATAATTTTATCTTTCTATAATTTCCAATTTGAGAAAATTCGATTTGTTTGAAAATACTAACGGTAAACCACTCAGGATCTAAATGCTCGTTTTTAAATCTCCCATTAAAAATTCAGTGTTATTCCATTCGTCATTCGGCCTCATCGCGAGATGCGAACCACCATTTGGCCAATCCCTGTGGGAATATTAAAACAGATCACTGTACACGTAATAATAAATACTTGAAAATTCATATCGATCACACCATACCTAATCCAAAACGACTGGTGCAAAATTTTTTAAAATCTCCATCGCGATACCCAATGGTACATTCAGAAATTCGTAACAAAGCCGAGGTTGGAGTTAAAATCCGAATGCCGAAGAGTAGCGAATGGGAAACGTCATTTCCCTGGAAAATAACCGAGTCCATCTACGCGGCAACCATTTTTCCCTCGTCCATCTGGCCGGAGTAACGTGTCGGAAACACGTTCCCAAGTATAACGATTCTTCCAAACGACACCTTTGAGACGTGGATAAGAGCGGGAGGGAGAGAGAGAACGGAAACGCGAGGGAGCCGGTACGTGAGAAAGCGATCCGACACGTAGGGATCCCGTTTCAGGTACGCGAAGTTGGACGGTCGCGTGACGCCGCCGGTGGTGCCGTGGAGTTGCTGCCGAATCGACGTAAAGGGCCCCTGCTATCACGATCCCCTTCAGCTGCCAAATCCGGAGCAGAATTCCACTTACGAGAGCCTGAACGCTCGGGGCTGTCTCGTCGCTGTGAAGACCGTGTTAAACGGGACGCTCTATTCCACCGCGGTGCTGATCGCGTTTCTGTTTGTGTTGCAGGTAAATCAATAATAACGCGCTGGCCGGCGCAAACAATTGCTTTAGCCTAGCCGGCATCGTCGGGATTAAGTGCGTTCCGCGATCGAGGATTATCGCTGTTTCCTCTTTGCCCGTAAACGGATCTTTCTTTTAAGATCGGGATTTTTGAGAAATTTCTATACCAGGATTGACAAATTTTAAGGTGCTCTAATGGACCCTGAAACCTTCTTTGGGTTCAGAAAATTTAATTTCTTTCTTCCTATTTTTTTTTCTTTTTTTTTTTGGTTGATTTATCTTTCTTTTTAAGATCGTGTTGGTTGAGAAATTTTTGGGACGGGATAACAAATTTTAGGGTGTCCTAGTTGGGCCCTGGATCCTTTATTGGGTTCAGAAAATTTAATTTCTTTCTTCCTATTTTTTTTCTTTTTTCTTTCTTTTTTGATTTATCTTTCTTTTTAAGATCGTGGTGGTTGAGAAATTTTTGGGACGGGATAACAAATTTTAGAGTGTCCTAGTTGGGCCCTGGATCCTTTATTGGGTTCAGAAAATTTAATTTCTTTCTTCCTATTTTTTTTCTTTTTTCTTTCTTTTTTGATTTATCTTTCTTTTTAAGATCGTGGTGGTTGAGAAATTTTTGGGACGGGATAACAAATTTTAGAGTGTCCTAGTTGGGCCCTGGATCCTTTATTGGGTTCAGAAAATTTAATTTCTTTCTTCCTATTTTTTTTCTTTTTTCCTTCTTTTTTGATTTATCTTTCTTTTTAAGATCGTGGTGGTTGAGAAATTTTTCGGACGGGATAACAAATTTTATGGTGTCCTAGTTGGGCCCTGGATCCTTTATTGGGTTCAGAAAATTTAATTTCTTTCTTCCTATTTCTTTTCTTTTTTTTTTGTTGATTTATCTTTCTATTTAAGATCGTGGTATTTGAACAATTTTTGTATCAGGATCAAGAATTGTAGGGGGTCCTAATGGGCCCTGGACCCTTCGTTGTATTCAGAAAATCTAATTTCTTTTTCCTTTCTTTATTTTCTTAGATTTATCTTTCTTTTTGAGATCGTGGTGTTCGAGAAATTTTTGTGCCTGGATCAAAAATTTTAGGGTGTCTTTAATGAGCCCTGGACCCCTCGTCGGGTTCAGGAAGTCCATTTTTTATTATTTTAAATGTTTTAACATCTTTCTTTTAAGAATTTAGTCTTTAGGAAAGTTTGGTGTCGAGATAAAATGTTATGGGGTTTCTTAGTTTTCCTTGATCTCTTGAATTCAGGAAATTTAATTTCTTTTCTTCCTTTTATTATTTTATCTTTCTTTTCAGGATCGTTGTTTTTGGGGGAAGCTCGATGTCGAGATAGAAAATCGTAGAATTGGGTTTGGATTAAGTTTCTATACTGATATAGTTCTACTGATACAGTCAAAATTTTCATGTCAGAGATTAAAGTTTCGACTTGATAAGATGAAATAGAATTTGAATTTCGAGTCTTAACGAAGACTGAAGACTTACTAACTAAATGAAGATAATTTATACTGAATATTCCAGTGTAACAGCGTTAGATTACAACGGACAGGAAACTAGTCTCAGTGGACTAGTTACTAAAAAAATCACGAATCGTGGGATTAATCCCTCGTAATTCAGTTTTAATTACAGATTTCCCAAGGTACCGCTCTGACATTGCAAAATATTACCACCCTGTGTTACCGGTAAATAATTTCACCCTCTTTTCTGTACAACTGAAACAAGGGTGGTATATCGTATCACGACGATGATGGATCTAAAATCAAAACTATTCTGGAAGAAATAATCTCGAATAGGAGAATTATCAAATTCATTCCAAATTATTCTTTACCTAAATCAATGGTACCACGTGTCATCGACGCCACAAACCTTTAATATTTCAAGATAAAAAGCTCCCATTCGCGCTAAATTTCGAATAATTCGACAACTCACGAAATTTCATTGGAAAATCGTTTTCCCAATATTGTCCATCAAAAAATATTCAACGAGGAATACTGGGGAATATTATAGTTCCATTGACCAGAGGGTTGGTAGCCCTTACAGCAAGGGTTGAACGCCCCGATTTCACTCCTCTTCATCTTCTCATTCTTCGAGAAAATCTCGAATCTTTGATAACGTTAATCCGGCGAATAGTCGCGGTTAATTAAACTCACGGTGTCCCATTCACTCGTAAGTTTTTCCTCCATCGACCGATAAATTAATCCATTTAATCCGCGCCACGTTCCTGCGTTTTCGTCCCGCTCTGTCTCTCTACGGTGTCGATTCGACGCTTTGGGAATTATCTGCTCGCTGTTCACGAGGATACTCGTACACTTTTAATTACGACCTGTTATTCCCTTTTTTCCCCGTTCGCGATATTAGTTTCCAGTATCGGGATTCGGTTTCGCTTTTGTCAAAATCGCATTGATCGGGAAATGAAATTCTTGCTCGGTTCCGGTGTTCCATCAGGATTAAATTTTTAGCCAGTTTTGTTAGTGATTAATGTTTTACGTTACCTCCGCACTTTTCTTCTATTTCCGTGCACTTTTGTGCCAAGGTCCTGCCAAAATAACAGGATATTTCATTTCTAACGGGGGTAATACGATTTCAAATTTACCCCCCGTAATTCTTAACTTCCTATAAAAGCTGACTTTTCAAAAGAATTTTATTACTTCGCAATTCCCAATGTGTGCTCAAAATTGCAGCTAAATTTGGAAAATATCGTGAGCATATTAATATCGAATATTAATTTTCTCGGAGGAATTCTTAAATTCTAGGAAATCCAATTGATAGAGGTCCAAGATGATCTATGATCTATAACGTTCCTCCACATCGTACGCGTTTCGTGAATGTAAATCTTCTCGAGGAATCCTTAAATTCTGCGCGATCTAATTGATAGAGATCCAAGATCTATGATCTATAACGGCCCTCCACATCGTAAGCGTTTCATGAATGTTAATCTTCTCGAGGAATTCTTAAATTCCACGAAATCTTATAGAGGTCCAAGATGATCTATGATCTATAACGTTCCTCCACATCGTACGCGTTTCGTGAATGTTAATCTTCTCGAGGAATTCTTAAATTCCACGAAATCTAATTGACAGAGATCCACGATGATCTATGATCTATAACGTTCCTCCACATCGTAAGCATTACGTGAATGTAAATCTTCTCGAGGAATCCTTAAATTCTGCGCGATCTAATTGATAGAGATCCAAGATCTATGATCTATAACGGCCCTCCACATTGTAAGCGTTTCATGAATGTTAATCTTCTCGAGGAATTCTTAAATTCCACGAAATCCAATTGACAGTCATCCACGATGATCTATGATCTATAACGTTCCTCCACATCGTAAGCATTACGTGAATGTAAATCTTCTCGAGGAATCCTTAAATTCTGCGCGATCTAATTGATAGAGATCCAAGATCTATGATCTATAACGTTCCTCCACATCGTAAGCATTACGTGAATGTAAATCTTCTCGAGGAATCCTTAAATTCTGCGCGATCTAATTGATAGAGATCCAAGGATTATAGATCTATGATCTATAATATCCCCTCAAAATCGTATCCTTAAACGAAGTTTCAACGCCCGAAATTATCCAAAGCAAATTATTCGACGAATCCTCCGAATCTGCTATATATTTCAAGAAAAAGGGTACCTAACAATCCTCTCACTCGTGAAACTCGACTTAGAGACCACTCACGTTCCCTATTTCGGCCGAAGCGACCGGTATAGTGCGTCATAAAATCGAGAAACAGTGTTTTACGAGGAACAGAGGGCCCCGTTAGTGGGAAAGGAAAATTCGCTGTGTAAGGACAACCCACGTAGGAAGAAGACCTCTTACCAATATTTCACGTAATAACGGAATATCTGTTGCAGGTGTTGGTGAGCGTGTTGTCGAGGTTCGACTTCACTGCTGCGAGAAACGCTGTGGCGCTGGGCGATCGGTGGGCAGCGTCGCCCGGTTGGCTGTTCGGCCGCCTGGATTTCGGCTTAGCCAGTGGACCTAATCTCTGCCAGATCGATCGGGTTAGTGGACCGGCTGAATCGAATCAATCGAGTCGCCGGATGAACCGTGAGCGAGTCGCGCGATAGACGGCTGGTGGACGTGCGAAGGATCGGTGTGAATCGGATGAATGCGGAAGAGTGGACGATGGGAAAGTCTTGGTCCTAGATCGAATCGGGGGTTTGGATCGAGATGGAATCGAGGGTTTAGATGAAGATCGCGGGGTTCGTTGTGTAGCAGTGGATTTGCAGAGACTGGTAGAAAATGAGACAGTTTTTCCTACGATCATGTAGACAATATATTAGAGGTTAGGAATTGTGCGAGTTGCACGATACATAGCGTGACTGATGAATATACGGAGGATCGGTACGAATCGGATGAATGTGGAAGTTTGCACGATCAGAAGAGCTTGGTCTAAGATGGAATCGAGGGTTTGGATCGAAATCGTGGGGTTCGTCATGGAGCAGTGTATTTCTAGGGTCTGGTAGCAGATAGGAGAACTGGATGAATGAGGAAGATTTTGGTTCAAAATAAAATCGGAGATTTGGATCGAGATCATGGAATTCGTTATACAGCAGTGGATTCGAAGGGACTGATAGAAGATGGTAGAGTTTTTCTCATGATCATCTAGACAGTATATTAGAGGTTAGGAACGATACATAATGTGCGAGGGATCGGTATGAACCGGATGAATTCGCAAGCTTGGACGATGACAAGAACTTGGTCCAAGATGAAATCGTGAGTTTAGTTCAAAATGGAATCAGAAGTGTGAACCGAAATCGCAGGGTTCGTCGTTAAGCAGTGTATTTCTAGAGTCTAATAGAGGATAGGAAAATTGGATGAATGCGGAAAATTAGACAAGAGGAAGGTTTCGGTCCAAGATGAAATTGGTAATTTGGTCCAAAATTAAATTAGTGGTGTGAATCAAGATCGCATGGTTTGTCATGGTGCAGTGTATTTTTAGGGACTGGTAAAAGATAGGGGAGTTTCTCCTACGATCACATAGAGAACATTAGAGGTTAGGAATTATGCGAGTGGCACGATACATGGCGTGACTGATGGACGTGCGAGGGATCGGTATAAACCAGATGAATGCGGAAGCTTGGACGATGGGAAAAGCTTGGTCCATGATGGAATCGAGGGTTTGGTTCAAAATCATGGGATTCGTCATAGAGCAATGTATTTCTAGGGTCTGATAGAGGATAGTAGAATTGGTCGAATGCGGAAAATCAGACAAGAGGAAGGTTTTGATCCAAGATGAAATTGGGAGTTTGGTCCAAGATGGAATCTGAGGTTTGAATCGGGATCGCGGTGTTCGTCATAGAGCAGTGAATTCGGAAGAACTGGTAGAAGATGGTAGAGTTTTTCCTACGGTCACAAAGAGTTAGAAGTTAGAAATTATGCGAGTAAAGAGTGAAATTCGTTTAACAAATGGGAGAAAACTGCGCTCTTACGTTGAACCATTCCGTTCTCACCATCGTTCGTACACTTTTACCGTCCCTCAGACAGTTTCATCTGTGCTCGTTCCTGCCTCGTTTTTCGCTAGAGAGTTGCTAATTCTCAGACGGTACATGTGTAGCGTGCAAGTTGCCGCTAGGTGGAAAGAGTTAAAGGGAAGCTGCAGTAACTTTCCAACTTCGCGAGAAATATCCGCAGAATGAAGTTTCCACCTGCACCCACTCTTCGTCTGTGTGTGTCTGCCCCTATGCCGGGTAAATGCCTGTGCGTGGCGGTTGTCGGGGGAACACTTTGCTCAAGCGGCGCCGCGCCGACTTTATTTGTTTAATTTTCTAATTTCTTCGAGTTAGGACGGAGGCACACGTCGCTGGAAGAAACAGAGACGCTCGTCGGACTTTTATCAGAGAGCCGTCCGCGTGATGGAGGAAAGTTAAAAAACTTTCCACGAGTGTTGCTTCCCTCTTTCTGCCGTTTGCGCCGAGGAAATTTTGTCTCTTGACACTCGCCCACACGACATACGTTACGCGCGAACGTAGCAATTTGACTAATCATCTACGTGTAAATGGACTGCAGGAAACGTGCTCTGTTCGCGTTCCTCGTTATCTCTTTCTTCGCGCTGTTTCCAGACCACGAGTTGTAGAACAGGGAATTTTTCTTCAATTAGCGGAATTGAATTTCATCGGAGTTCGCAAGTCCAACAGCGTCTATAGCTAGGCTCGAATATTCCTACTCCGCGAGGCTGGCGAGTCTCGCTTCCCCCACCACTGGACTCGCTTACCGCTCCGCCCGCCATATGGCTACTGTGCGTGCTTCGTAAGGAGACTCGTGAACGGAATGTAAAACCAATTGCCCAGTTATTGAGTACGTTATGGTAATGCACATTTGTTAAAACGGTCACGCGCACCAATTGGATTGCACGATAATGGCCGACGATGGTATGTGTCGGGATAATAGGTGGATGGATAAACTCACTTCTCTTGACCCTTTATCGTCTGCAAGAACTTCTTGCGAAGTATCTAAGGTACCGTCTTTTGATCAGAAGAAGGCTAGATTGATCATAATATATTTGACCTTCCCTAACGTAGTCATAAAAATATGGAGATTAATTTTTATAATTGACAGAATTGAGCCTCGTGTCATACACAATTCACATCAATCCTAAGATTAAATTGGTGTCGAATGTAACTTAGTCACGTATTATATTTGGCTGTTAAAAATTAGGTTAGGCTATGCAAACAGCTCGTACTGATCCCTATATCGTTAGCTATTCTTTCATCAGCAAACAGTATCTCGAGGATTCACCGAAACTTAAACATCCCGTGAACCATCCTAATTAATTCTGCTGCTAATCCAACAGTCTCATTCCGAATCTCCCCACAGAAAAACAGCGGTCGAGGCGATTCGATGATCGATTTGCGCCCGCTTGTGTATTCCAGCGATTCCGACTGAAACCAGCGGAAACAAGCAAAAGAAAACTCGGAAGAAGACCGAAGAACCCGAGGAAGAATCATATTTCCACGTCAAGCACTTCCTCCGGAGCCTTGCAAAAATACCCCGACCTTTTAACCTGCGTACATATATACGCCCACACCCGGCCATATCGAGCAAGCATCGATCAAGTCGTCTAACTTCACGATCGATCGTAAAGATCGGTAAGAATCGTGGAACGTTTCCCCAGGCTTTTATCGAAATGAAAAGCCATCGTGGACGAATGGCGCGTTTAACGAAGCGCACGCGTCCACCTCCGCGGGGATTAATCGATCATCGATTACGATACACCCTCGGAGCGGCCTCTGGAGGAACAAACAAGCTTCCTCGTGGCGAGAGAAGGAGATGAAACTGGCTGCGGACGATAAGATAAGGGCTCGCCTGGTTTCTTTCCGCGGATGTCCGTCGCCAAGATCCTGCGATAGCTTTCACCATGATTACTGGGATCGGTTAATCGAGTCGCGCCACTAAATCGCCCGCTTCCCCCGGACGTATCGATCCGGCTGGACAAAGGGACGGAACAGAGGATGGGACCAGGAAGGCTTTGGAAATCTCGGTGTACCGCGACGATGATAAAAAGCTCACGGTCCTCGATCGAGGAATCGGTCGATGGTGGACGAAGACAGAACGCAAGGGGTTGGAGAACAGGTGTAATTACCGAGTACAGTTGGAATCTTGGAATACATACCGTAGATTTCCTGTTTTAATATAAAAATATATTATTTTCGTCGATGGAACGCGATTGTAATAAATATTTTAGAATTTGAGTTCGATATTATATGGGAACCATCGATGACTTTTTGATATTTTCACACACTGTAATACAATAATTCTAAAATAACATTTTTGGTTCAATATTGGCTTACATATTTTTTAAAACAGGCTTGTTAGACTGTCACAGTCAGGCAATTAATAATATGAACCGGTGCGTCAGAGAAATATTGCTCTTAAATAAAAATTCCATAGAAACCGTGTGTTACAGAAATTAAATCGAAACTCCGGGGAAGCACGCTCTTAAATAAATTTCAAAAATAATATCGGTATCATAAATATTGCCATTTCCGATTAAACCAGTTAATCGATAATACCCGAACATATTTTTGCAAGCATCGAGGAATAATAAAAGGGGCAAAGGGCAAAATAAAAAAATTGGGAATAATCGAGGAATGACTAAAATTTCTCATGGAAAAAGATGGCGACTGTTACGATGCGCGTTCGACCTAGGAAATACGAGACACCAGTTCGCTGTTCCTCTAGTCTGACAGTGATGGTGGGGGAAAAACATGCCTCCACCCTTGTCACGTTCGCGGGAGTCCCGGATCGTGGTTCGCGCAGTAGAATGAGCGGCGAACTTCCGGAAAAAAGCATAATTGCGTGCTCATTCCGATGACGCGATTTAAACTGCCGGGCCCATGTGGCTCGCAAGAAGCGAGGTGGGATCAGGAGCGGAAGGATCCCCCAAGATTGGCGTGCGCCCGGTTCCCACCGGAAGTCCCGCGTGTAGCTGACGAGGGTGCGGTTCTTCCGTTGTGCCAGGATCCCTCGTGGCTCGTGTCACGCGATTCGAGGTGTTCCTCGCGCGAAAAACCAGCGGTCGATACCGGCAAGGAGGCGTTCAACTCGTAAATAGAGCCGGCTCTTTTCGCTCTTTGAGTGGAGTAAAAGGTAAACGCTTGGCCCCCGTGAAAAAGTTGCAAATTTGCGAGCAAGTGTGTCGTATAGAAATGAAGTTTTAGCCCGGCAAGTGGAGAGAAACCGGTCGTGGACTCTGCTTTTTATTTCGTTGGGTTTCACGGGCTACGATGATTTAGGAGTGCTTTGGAGTCCGCGATTGAAGCCAGCCCTGATGGAATCATGAATATTGATGGTGTCGAGTGTCGTCGCGAATGAAAATGATGGAACAGAAGGCCGGTGTAATGAGTTATTCAAATTTTGTTTATCCCTCGTAAATTCGATGGCGTCAAAGTAGCAGATAGACCTTTGAATTGGTCCTCTTCCGTAAAAAGCCGCGTTTGCAAATTTCGCGATTTAATCGCTGTTGCGTCCCGAATACTGCAACTCGCACTGTGGCAGTTCCGCGGGGTTGTAGGGCCCGTTTACGCAGATGTAGCCTAGTCTAAATTAACCGTTTGAGTCCCAGAAGCTTTTTAACGAACACGGTCGTGAAACCCTCAACAACGCGATAGCGCTTGTTTAATTTTATGTCCAAAAATCCCAATCAGCGCGATAGCGTTTGTTGGTACAAAAATAGGTCCCAACTTGTCCAATGATCCTTTAATGGCGAGGACAGGGTTTTTTCAAGTCGCGTGCCCAACACCTACGCACGCATTCCCCTTGCAGCGGCGACACTAGAAAGTACTGTAGAGCATAAGCTCGGGGTACGGCGTAGTCACCCACTGGCGGACCCCAAAGTCGCATACAATACTTGTGTAGAGGGGTCCTCCCTACACAGTCCTTGATGTCTGGCGCGGGTACCCTCAGGTACCTGCAGCTAGGAGGGAAGGGATAGGAAGAGAAAGGGATGCGTTTCGTCCTGGGTCTGTTAGTAGACTAGCATAGGTCCTAGGGTCCGAGATCCATTGGGTCTGCTAGCGGACTAACAGGTCCTAGGTCCACTGGGCTAGCTAGTGAACTAGCATAGGTCCTAGATCCACTGGGCCTCGTCAGTAAGGCTACTCTTGCAAGCTCTGTCTTAGACTGGGATACTGGAGACAGGTAGTTATATATATATAGGATTTGGAGATTTTCTAGGTCCCCGAATCCATCTATTGGCGAGGATGAGAATGATGGTCACTATACTTGTCTCTCGTGTTGAGTTAAACGTCGTGGGTCTTGGTTGATAATTTGGCGGTGATGCTTGTCCTGTTTTCGTGAGATTTTTAGGTTAACTCTCTTCATCACACCTGTCTCAGTGGTTTTATAGGTTCTATCTATCTACTGATTGGTTGGTGTGAAATATAAGTGGTAGGTGTGTGACTTCCTATTGGTTGTGAATAATATTGGGGGTGTGTGATAGCCTCGACGTCTTTCTGTGGTAGTGAATGTTTAAATAATTTGGTCTCTATGTCTGTCATCTTAAAGGTGATATATTGGTCCTTGCTAAGGTTTACCCAAGTGGTGACTAGGTGTTAACGAATTTATACGAATCAAGGAACACTGGCAATAAGGACATAAAACAGTCCTTCACTTCAACCTGGGACGTATAGTCCTAGGGTTGCAATAATCATCACGGTTGGGCGAAATTGTGGAAAATTGGGCAGGCGTTGCCTATGAAAATAGAGAGAGGAACGCTGGGAGAGAACGAAAGACAGAAAGTCGCGAGAAAGTCGCGAGAAAGTCGCGAAGAACTCGCGAGAAGAGAAGCAGAGCGATCTTTCTTCCACCCTCTCGTAGGGTGCGGATGTTCCGCGCGGCTGCGAGCCTGGCGGTCCGCTTTCGCTGCCTCGTTCGTCCTTGTCGAATTTAATAATGGCGAATTTACGGGGCGCGACGGGTTTTTTCGCCAGTCGGGTGCAATTTCCTGCGACAGTGGTAACGAAGTTCTTACGGTCCGCACGTTTCCCCCGTGTCACCGTAAAGCGACCGGTTTTACGCGACGTCCGACGTATTAACGCTAACGGAGCAAGCGTACGCGACGTGCTGGCCAGAGCTCGGGAGGAAAGTCGTTATCGCGGAGCCAAAATTTCCCGATTATTTCTGAAAAGAAGTTCCTCGGGAATCCAGCTTTGCGAGACTGCTTCTTCCCCTGCCGAGAGTTAACCGTGTCTTTACGATCGCGCGATTCTCGCGAATTATTCGCCTTTGCTATTCTGTGTATTCAGAAATGGGATAATAAAATTGTAAACCTCTAACGCTCTATCCTTGGAAGCTTGGCAATTTTTCGGTACCCGTTTCTTTGCTGTACATTTCTGTGCAAGCTTAATTGCGTAAGTGAATAATTGGCACCTCCGGTTGGCAGAAGTTGACAGCGTTCTGCTATTGGTATTTCTTTACAAGCGGAATTACGTTTCAAACAGGAATAATATTTTAGCAGCGTAGTATAGTAAACTGCATGGTTCATTTGGTATGCACAGGATACTTTTTGATCAATTTTTGTGCAATTGAGTGACAGTTTTCTGCTACCGGTGCCTCTGTTCGAGCGAATGTTTGAAACGAAAAGGATTAGGGTCAGTTTTGGAACCTTATGGCGACGTGGTGTTTGAAACTGTCTGTAACCGTGTAAACGACAGTGCTGTAATCCACGTGGCGCCAACCTTTCGGAATATTTGCCATAAGGAGACGACTCGAGGAACCTCGATTCTGCAAGTAGTCTTGGACCGACTAGGAAGTACTTCACTGCTCCTCGAGACACTCTTCCATCGCGCTCTTGCCTGTACTCGTGTCTGATGGATCCTTTACGTGTACTCTTTCTGCAGAATCTGTACAGAAAATCTCCGTTACTTATTATTTTTAGTACTTTTATACACGCTCCTTGCGTCTTCAATTTAAGCGGTTAGAAATAGCTGATCTCTCTTACCGAGGTCCCTTTGAAATATTATCTGAGACTTCTCTGATTTCGGTTGGATATAACTACTCCAAAGGTAAACGAAAAATTTTTTAAAAGACCATTTTAAACACCGTAATATTTCGTTTTGTACCTATAAAATCCTCATTCTTCTATTTTATACAGAACCTTGCACGTTCAATTTTCTCCCCATTTCCTAATTTATCAAAAAATTTATAGAACGTTTTCTTTCACGTTTCTTCCCAAATTATACTTTTCTCGAGTCTCGAATCGTAATTGGAGATGATTACAATAACTCGTACTATTTTTTTCACGCATCCATTTGCATTAAACTACTCGAAAAGGAACGGTGGAGACAGCCTAAACCGAAAACCGTGCCACAAAAGATCAAACAACCCTATCCTCGTCAACCCCATCGGGATTCCTCGTGGGATCGCGATGTTAGCATGCAGGTTAC